GTACAGGTGTGTTTGTTTTGTTCAGCAGGTACAGGTGTGTCTGTTTTGTTCACCTGTACTGTCTCAGGTACAGGTGTGTTTGTTTTGTTCAGCAGGTACAGGTGTGTTTGGTTGTTCAGCAGGTACAGGTGTGTTTGTTTTGTTCAGCAGGTACAGGTGTGTTTGTTTTGTTCACCTGTACCTGTTTGTACCTGTTTGCAGGAGGAGAAGCAGCGTTTGGAGAACCAGCTGTCAGGAGTTCCCAGAATGCAACAGAGGCTGTCAGAACTGTGCGTCCTGCTGGGGGAGGCGGAGCCTGTGGACAGCGAGGAGAACGCAGAGCAGACAGATGTGTAGAGAGTTGTGTGTGTTTGTGTGTGTGTGTGATCATGTGACTGAAACTAACTGTAAAGATGATTTTAATCTTTGAATCATTTCCTGTCTGCTATGAGGGGCGGAGCTACTTGATGAACAGGTGAACTGGCACCTGTCCTGCCCCACTTCCTGTCCTCTTCTGATTGGTCAGACAGCTGAGCTTTTACATTTCACACCAGTGTTTGACTGATGGACCTTCATCAGAACCATGGACTGACACCATGAGGAACTGGACCTTCATCAGAACCATGGACTGACACCATGAGGAACTGGACCTTCATCAGAACCATGGACTGACACCATGAAGAACTGGACCTTCATCAGAACCATGGACTGACACCATGAGGAACTGGACCTTCATCAGAACCATGGACTGACACCATGAAGAACTGGACCTTCATCAGAACCATGGACTGACACCATGAGGAACTGGACCTTCATCAGAACCATGGACTGACACCATGAAGAACTGGACCTTCATCAGAACCATGGACTGACACCATGAGGAACTGGACCTTCATCAGAACCATGGACTGACACCATGAAGAACTGGACCTTCATCAGAACCATGGACTGACACCATGAGGAACTGGACCTTCATCAGAACCATGGACTGACACCATGAAGAACTGGACCTTCATCAGAACCATGGACTGACACCATGAGGAACTGGACCTTCATCAGAACCATGGACTGACACCATGAAGAACTGGACCTTCATCAGAACCATGGACTGACACCATGAGGAACTGGACCTTCATCAGAACCATGGACTGACACCATGAAGAACTGGACCTTCATCAGAACCATGGACTGACACCATGAGGAACTGGACCTTCATCAGAACCATGGACTGACACCATGAAGAACTGGACCTTCATCAGAACCATGGACT